CACTCTAGAGCCCTGATGTGTGTAACATGCTCCTGTTACATCATTCAAGGTGTAGCTCACCTTTTGCAGGAGACTTGGAGTTTGGTGAGGAAACAGGTGAAGCTCCATCTACTGCTGATTTCCCCTCTATCAAGCCTGTTTTTGCAGACAGCTTCTTTTCTTCTTCTTCCTGCTTTTTCAAAGGACTGCAGAGTTTCCCTTTCCTTCGCACTACACAGCAACAGTTAACAAAGCAAAGAGGAGAGGTAATGGAGATTTCATAAAAGAACTGCAGGAACGGGCAGATAAATCAGTGCTTCTGCTCACCAGATCGAGGAGATTTTGCAACAGGAGACTCTACGATTGGCTGCGCCCCAGTGTCGAGTTTAAAGGTGACCGTGTTCTTCTTTGGTGGAGATTCCTGCAACCCAGCGTCATTATCTGTGGAAGCAAAGTACTTCTGGTTCAGGGCTTCAACTGATTGTGATTGATTATGACTAATTTGACTAGTTTGTCCAGACAAAGCAGTCTGGACAAACATAAAAAATATAAGCTACAAGATTATGCATCCAAATAAGCATAATAACATATACTTAGAGGTAATAAATAACTGGGGGACAAATATAATTACAAACATGAACAAAATAAGTGGAGTAATCTATAGGCAAAGTGAGTAAAGAGTTAAAGTAATCAATAAAAAATTCCACTTTGGGGGGAAAAAAAGGAATAAAGCTTCCTTTGACTGTGAGAAATGACATCACATCTATGAAGCCACAAGGAACCGGATCAGGGTTTAGCTGACTTCCAGAGGTGTGAGATACGACACGCTGATAACAGAAATGTAAAAGAAAGACTTTTTTTTGTTGCACAGAGGTACAGGGAACAAGTGAACCCTCAAAATATCAATGAAGGGTTCGTATTTATCTCCGTCACTAAAACATCAGACATGGGGATCCGGTTTAGCTCACTGGGGTGAGCAGGCAACAACATGGCGTATAGCTAAGAGCAGCCGGCCAGTGTTTGAATCCGAAATTACTTGCCGCATGTCTTCTTCTCTCTCTCTCCCTCCGCTTTCCTGTCACTCCTCACTGTTCCTATTCAATAAAGCCAGAAAAGGCCAAAAAAAACCAACAGATTTTCAAAATCTTAAAAAAAACAAACAAACTCAACAACATACAAAACAGACATTCATGAAGTCATCGATCCAGAACTCAAGTATTTTACAGCATGAATAAAACACATGGTTTAGATCATAAGCCACATGTAAGCCACTGTACTTGAATGTATACTAAGGACAGCTTTCTTGCACCATTGATCTACCAGCCTGATTCCAAACTCCAGGGCCATCCATCAGCCAAGTGATTTTTAATTCACTCTAAAGGCCAGAAGAGCCTCTCATGGCCTTTCAGTGTAATGTAATGTACTCACATTTACAAAGCACTTTAACTATAAGTTTGTTCTATACACTTCGAGGTCTTCAGACCCACCAGGGCACGAATTCCACAAAGAAAGGCCCCAGCTGGAATCACAGTGAGACTACAAAAGGTGGAGTTTTTAGAACTAAACAACTTCAGGGAGCTGAACCCTTTGGTTTGACATCCCTGCTCCAGCTGAATTTACTCATGCTGTTTTCATACCTCATTATAACTGACCTCTTAACAGGATAACCTGTATGATCTCCTTTACCTTCTTTACCTTCTTTGTCCAGGCAAAAGGTGTTGCGAGTCCTTCGCAGTGCAGGACGTGGTGTTAACGAACTTAAAGTGTCAAATCCCTGGGCTGGACACAGAGAGAGATTGTTACATTGTTAAAGCTAAATTACTTGATATTTTAAGTATTTATTTGAAGACATACTGCCACCTGTATTCACCTGTACTGAGTTCACAGCTCGTGCTTGGAGTGGGGCTTGGATTAACTACAGATGTTGCTGCTGCATTTCTAAGAGGCGAGGAGAAACTTGAGTTCACAGATTCAGATTGAAATGGACTTTCAGGACCGGGAAGTTTCTCCCCACATGAAGGACAGAATCTGAATTCAGGCTGTAACTTCGTCCCACACTGGGGGCAGAAATGGAAAGGCATTCTGCAAGAGTGAGGATAAAACATGATTATACATCAATCGTCTGCTCCAGCCACGTCGTGTGTCTGTCCGAGGTTTATCGTGTGGATCAGGAAACTACACACAAACAATCTGACAGTTGTTGGCTGGTAAATCTGTTAGAAATGAATTCGTAGTACAGTTTTTAGCCACATCAGTGTTCACAAAAGCTTTGCAAGTGTCACAAAAAAGTTTTCAGAAAATAAAGTCAAGTTCACAATTCTATTCCCAAAGTAAACATGAGTTTACTGAGAGGATTCTGGATATTTCTTTTTATCAGTGCAGAGGTAATATTATATAAACCAGGCTATGAATGTTAATATATCCCTCTGCAAAAATGGACAGCTTTAGTGAGTGCAAAGACTACATGAGATTTTAAGCTTTACGTATGAGGGGAAAAAAAAACAAAAACAAAAAAACATCCATCCACTTTCTTAATGGTAGTTTTTGCAGTTTTTTTGTAGTTTTGTTCCCTCTGCAGCATTTTATCAGCAGGTGTCCTGAGATGATTCATTCTTCTCTCTCCAGGATCGCCTCCACCTTCACTCTTCCCTCCTTATAGAGCTCAATGTTGTCTGCAAACATAGTTCTGTCTAGCACCACTGCAAACAAGAAGAGGCTCAGAGCCAATCCTTGAAGTAATCTAACTCCCACCTTGAAACCATCTGTTACTTCTACTTCTGACTGACTTCCTTCATGGATCTGTAGATCCACAAAGAATCTCGCTCTGATCTTCACTATGCACCTCCACCAACTCTCTGGCTCATGGATGGAGCCAGCATATTACTGATTACTTGCATGGTTAAAAAAAACCTTGTGGTGACCCACTATATCACCTGGTGGTACAAACTGGTGTTATATGAAAGTATAGCTTGGCCCCATTTCAACTTCAGTTATCTCACCATACAGTATAGAGATGGTTTGGACGTAAAGCCATAGTAGTTGTCTCCTCACACTCTGTTGACAGCCTTAGTTAAATTTGAAAGATTTAAAACTCATAAAAATTAATTTACAAACAGTACCTAAAAGATTATTTATTGAAAATTCTAGACATATTTTTTTTAAGAGAACAATTAATTTAGAGGTAAAGATCCCAATTTAGACAGCATCTTTTATACTTCAATCATATAAATGCTGTTAGAACTATAGATACTCTTTAACCGAAACAAAGCTACAAATAATGAGGTACAATCACATTCAAGAAATCCCTCTCAGAAAAAAATAAAAACTCGAGATTTAGACTGTGCTAAATGTTGAGTTTCTGACCTTTTTTTTTTTTTTTTAACACTGTTGACTTTTTATGGAAGACATGGTCTTTATCAAACAGTCAGCTCATGTACATGTAGCAACACTTATGTTTGGGAGAAGCACCAGAACAAAGTTGAAATGAGAAATTAAATATCTCATTTCAGACAGAAGATAAAGGCAGTGCCTGGACCAGTGCTCGATATAAGATACATAAAGACCAATTTTGACCTGTGAAACATGCAAAAATGATACACTATTGTGCAAGTCTGGAACCACCCCTCATTTCTTTATATTGTGGTTCCAAGGAAGCATACTCTTGATTCTTTCACAGGGGTGTTGAGCAATAGTTCTCCAGGCTTTCCGAAGGTCTTTCTTTGGACATTAGCTGCCTTTTCACTCATTTTAAGTCCATTTAACACTGACATATAAATCGTTCAAACGTCAAAAAGGGCACCTATGTTAAAGCAAATGAATCTATGAATAGTGTCAAAGATAACACAGTTTAACAGACATAAAATAGTATTTTTGCAACAACAAGGTGAACCTCAAAGAGCTATTAGCTGAAAACTTGATATGTCTCAGTGGGATGTACAGTGTGCCCTTAAAAAATGAAGAAACTGGACAAGAAGAAGACTAAAGAACAAGTGTCACAGGACAACAAGAGAAAGTCGTGTTCTTAAGAAGCAGATAAAAGAAAATCCAGCAAAGACTTGAAAAAGGCCCTGAATGATGAAGTCATTTCACTTGCTAAGTCCACATCCTCATTTTATGTTTGACAGCGTTTTAATAGATAAAGAAGAATGAAGAATGGCTTAAACATGAACTGAGCTGCGGTTTGGGGAAGGCCTCAAAGGGTACTGGCAGCAGCTCCCGGGCCTGGCACGAAAACGAACAGCTTGTAGAACTGGGGGACTCGCATATAGATAAGAACCGGAAGGAGCGTGTTTGGAGGCGTGGTCCCGCTCCTGAAATTCACATACTTTATCTCCAAAACATTGATCCAGCTACTGGTCACAAAAGCTTAATCAGAAATGGTTTCATTAGCTGTCAAGAATCAATGCTTAAGGAAAGAGAAACAGGGAGTTTGAGAGTGATCCCAAACACACTGCCAACACAGTAAAAACACCTGCACAGAAAACACACACAGTGCAACACTACCAGTCATGGATTGGCCTCCCCAGAGCCCGGATCTCGACATTATTGAAGCCTGTGGGATCATGTTGACAGAGAACAGACTAAAAAGCAGCTAACATCCAAAGAGCAACTTTGAACGTCCTTTAAGAAGCCTGGAAAGCTATTCCTGAAGACTACTTAAAGAAATTACTAGAAAGCTTGATTAAGAGATTTCAGGCTGTGTTTCAGAATCAAAGGTGGCTCCACATTTAGCAAAGCTCTGCCTGCTGGCTCACTGTGTTGCATAACTTTTTCCAGGGAACCGTTAAGAAGAGGTTTAAACGGGGCGTAAAGGAAACTACAGTCCTTATCGCGACAGGAACTCCTTACTTAGAAAATATAAAATAGATGAAGACCGAGTACCAAACATTCGTGTTAGCTAGCTAAAAGTCAAGCAAAACTTTTAAAAACTTTTCGGGCGGAAGCGCCGCCAAAGCACCGATATTAACTTTTGTTTACAATAAGTCTAAAAATTTTGCACCTGGTTTTGTTCGTATATAATAAAAACCTACAAACAGTTAAAACGTCTGGTACCTTTGTTTTGCTGCTTCTTCTTCACCGCATTGACAATCTCACAGGTGGAGCTACGCAGGCGCAATGCTGCCCTCTGCAGGACTTCAGGACAGTTGCAACCAGCTGTGCTAAAAACCACAAAGCGAGTTTTTAGCGCGGCTCTTTTTCTTCTTCTGTCATTTTTAACGGCAGCTTGCATCCAAAGATGCTGCACTACTGCCATCTCCTGGCTTTTACTCTCACTTCACTTCTAAATCCTTAGAGCCTCTCGATGCACAAAGCAAGATTATAAGAGTTTTGTATTTTAGAATTTGTCTATTTCATTATTATTCATTTTAGTTGTTCCCGTTAGTTCACTTTCCAGAGCGAATTTTTTCGTTTCACTTTAGTTTTTATTGTTTGAAAATGTTTTCATGGTAGCTTTAATTAGATTCATAGCTACAGTGCTATGAAAAACTATTTGCTTCCTTCCTGAGGTTTTTTTTTTATTTGTTTAAAATTTGTTTGATCCTCTGAAAAATGTGACTGTGAAAAATAAAATATTGGGGATCATCATAATATCTTTTTGCCAAATGTGAGCTTTTGTATTCTTTTTTGTCAGCAATGATTTTTCCCCTTCTAACTCTCCCATTGATGCCATTTTTGTCCATTCTCTTTCTTTTGTTGAATCATGAACTCTGACCTTAACTGAGGCCAGACAAGCCTACAGTTCTTTAGATGTTGTTCTGGGATCATTCTTGACCTCTAGGATGAGTTGTTGATGCACTCCTGGAGTAATTTTGGTAGGCCGGTCACTCCTCAGAAAGTTCACCGCTGTTCCAAGTTTTGTCAGTTTGTGGTTAATGGCTCTCACTGTGGCTCACTGGAGTCCCAAAGCCTTAAATGTCTCTGTAACCCTTTCCAGACTGATAGATGTCAACTTTTATTCCCTGTAAATCCTGGAGAGGTTTCTGTGAGAAAATTCCAGCACATTAGGAGTCTGGTACAAACTACCATGGCATGATCAAAGTCACTTAGATCACCTTTCTTCGCTTATCTAATGCTTAATTTGACTTCAGCAGGTCATGTTGGCCATCTCTACATGCCTAAATTAGTTGCTGCCATGTGATTGACTACCCCCAAAGTCCTGCTGTTAAAACCTTTATTTCAGAATTATTTTTTGTTTCTAAGAAGTCATAACATACTTTTTATATACATATGAGACTTTAGGACGCTATAACTGTAGCGGCCTGTAGGAAAACCGAAGCAGTCTCCTGCTACAGAAACTCACAACAAGCTAAAGAAATGTGTATTAATTTTTCATTAAATGTCTGAAAGGTTTTGTACAAAATCTGTGAATTTAAATCAGAGTGTCAGTGTTGCATGTTTGAATATTGGCACAGGTAACATAACAAGCATCTGGTATTAATTATACTCAGAATTTGAAAATAATTATATAAAACAGTCAGATACATAAATACAAATGTTTATTTCTGGATATAATTTACACATTTTGCATATGAAAGTATGGCACAACTGACAATATGACACATTTCAGTTTTGCCTTTCTTATGTGATCAAATCTCATTTTCGGTGACAAATAATGTGACTCAACTAAAACATCACTCTCAGCCTTTCATAAATAAAATGTAACTTCAGTGTTAAATGTAAATATCAGAGGTATAAAATTGATCTGAAAGATTAAATTTATACCTTGATTGTAAACTAAAGTGCAAGCCCCATTTTTTTGCCCTAAATATAATACAGCATCCGAGCGCATCAGTTTTAAACACATTCAGCAACAGTGTGCAACCAAGAAAGAGCTGAGAATTAAGCAACAGCGACAGGTGCTTTTGTTTTTATATCCACAGGTGCTGATAAATAAACAGTATCCACACACAGTGAAAGGACAAGCCATAGGGGATTACTACAAATTAAGCTCAACATAGCCAGGCTTTTCTGGCGTTAACTAGCTTAACAAAACCTGAACCCGCAGTATCAGCTTTCTTTGTTAACTTTCTGCTTCAGGCTTTGCGTACACTCACATAAAAAGATGCTTTTGATGTATGATTTCCCTCTAATTCTGCATAGAAATGAGTCTCCAGTGTATCACCAACTTTAGACAAAGACTAAGTGATAGAGATCTAAACAGCAAAATGAAAGACCAAGTGTAATGCTGCAGGAAATTGTTAATCTCCAATTATCACAATCACATTCAGCAGTAAAATAAAGTTTGAGTTAGTATATTTAAATTTCCTTCACTTCAGTCTACCACCGGATCAATGTGAACACCAATTTTTTAACATGGTGAATAAAGCCTAAAAATGTAACTGATCGGTTTTCTAATCTGTTATCTAGTAGCTGCAAACCCAGCAGCAGACTAGCAGCAGATTTGGATCAAGCAGCCAACGTGAAATTTCTGCATAACCGCCTGAATTTCAGCAACAGTGTGAGGCACAGTTAGCACTGCTGTAACCTTACAGCTGGGCTTCGCGTTAGTGAGGTAAAGCTCTGCAGCTTTCATGTGTGAAATGTGTTCCTTTAGCACTTGGAGCATACTGTAAATACGAGCAGAAACTTTTGTTTTACCACAGTAATCAAGTCAGGTCGCATTAAAAGCTCTGACCTCTGATTTTGAGGTCAAGTTCACTGAGATTTGAACTCATCTGACATTTTCAGTAGTAGCAGTAGAAACAGTTTGAAAATCCTAGATAACGTCCTTCTTGAGTTATCGTAGTTATTCTATAATTTATATTCGGTTTAATCTGCCGATAAACTAAAGTGATGGGAAATCATCGGAATTGAACAAACCGAGTAATGTTTGAAAGCTTCAGACATTAAACAAGTTGTCAAAAACGTTGTTTTATGCGAGTGTGCTCAGAGTCTGAAGCAGAAAGCCTGATTTTCCCACCACACCACTGGGTTTTTAAGTTTTATCCAGCCAGACAACGCCAGGGAAGCCTGGATATGCTGAACCTGCTTCGTAATACGGCCCTCTGGAGTAATAAATATTTATTTGTCAAGGTCTTCGGGACTTTACGAATACTACAAATGATGATAAATCTGAAAATCTGGGTGAAATTCAGGAAATTAGTCAAAGCCTCTCTTCAGACAAGTGTTATCATTGAGATAACAATAGGCTTCTGCATTTATTTAATCAGAAGCCATTTTGATCATTTTTAGTCTCCAAGATATTCCTCAAAAGTAATCTGAAAGTCCACACACACTGATATTTTAGCTTAAAATATAAAACTGAGTATTATGTTTAGCCCAAAAAAGTCAAAATATGCACAAAAGTTTGATGTTTTTAAGCATTTTCTGCAACCGTCTGTTTTCAGCTGCAGGATAGTTAACCAGAATCATCCCCGTTCCTGAGTTATTGCCCTGTTTTAAATCACTTTATTTAATTCATTCTAACTACTGAATGTACTTTTTTTTTTTTTTTTTTTTAGTAATTATTGGACTTAACTGTACATAATAAAGTTTAGATGATTTAGTGAAACAGAGTTTTGTAATTTTGCAGGCAAACAAGCACAAAGATTTAGGAAAGGAGTGTTACTTGTCCATCTAGCTAACACCGGATGGTCACTGTGAGCTACATTTCCTCTTGCTGTGGCACCGGTGAGATTACAGCTTAACATTCAGAAGAGCATCAGTAGAACATAACCTAAAACTCCATAAATAGCTAATTTATCTCTAAAGCAAGTATATTCATAAAACCTGTGGCACTGCAGTTCACCTTTGAATATATGATCTGGAAATTTAAGCTATTCATCATAAGAAATAAATATCCCAAAATCACAACCAGCATGAATTAATCATTCAAAAGACTCATTAAATCAATTCAAATTAAATGCCCAAATCCAAAAGGCATTTAACTCAGCACTGACAAACTGGATGGAAATGTGTAACACACTGGTGTGTCGGTTGAATGGCACAAATGATCATCACAGAGCATACAATAATAATGATAATAATAATAATATACAGACTCCCACCTCTTCATCATTTCCCACCCACACTATGAACACAGATGTTTAAAATAAACCTAACATGCACATCTGCTTCTGTCGGAGCCCTCTGAGAGGTCTGGGGTGAAGGGTCCGTTAGCTCGGACAGTCCCGTCGGGGATCCAGGACTTGTCCACACATCGTTCCATCCTCTTCATGATGAGATCCAGCAGGACTTCCACGGCCTGGCTCACGTTATCCCCGTTTGCAGCACTCGTCTCAAAATACGGGATTCTGCACGGAAACATGTTTCAGTTACAAAACAGGGATCAAAGACAGCAGCTATAGTGTAGCTCAAACCTTTTGTTGACGTAGGAGTGCAATTAAAAAGTTGTGA